AATATTTTGCAAGATGAAATTCTGAAATACAAAATAAGATAAGAGGACAGGAAGATATATTTTTACACCATTTTTATATCATATTATATCCCACCGCCGAACGGAGTTGCGACAGCGTACTTTCGCGTCGCTACGAGCACTACTTCAACGGCTAGAGCTAGAGTTACCCAAGCGCCTTCGATTTTTAGCAAGCAACACGGACATCCATCGAGCACGAATAGTTGCATGAAGGCGTTATTACTGATATCATTGCCCTATGCTTCAATACTGAAGCATTAAGAAAAAACGCGGTTTGGGCACTGCCGAATTTCCTCCGATTACTTATGAATTTCGTAGAAAACTTGTACGCTCTTGTTTCTTAAATCTTTTGAGACTTTTCTTCGCGATTCAATCTGAAGATTCTGTCCTCCTCACTGGAAAAAAAACACATTGGATCTAGAGTCCAGACTCTTGAAAACATTGACAAGAAAAAATACTATTGATTCAATCAGATTTAAGCTTAAATCAAAAGGAAATCCGCTCAAATTAAGAGGCTTGGTTCTTGATTTAAGCAAAAATCTGATTGAATCAAGAGTATTTTTTCTTGTCGATGTTCGTAAGAGTCTGGACTCTAGATCCAATGTGCTTTTTTCCAGTGCTATGCTACAGTCACTTTGAGATATGGAGCGGGAGCTACATCTTTTTTCTCCTCTTCTTGCTTTCCTCCTCTTTCTCCTCCTCACCTCATTCCGCTTCTCCTCTTCTTCCTTCCCTGTTATTCTTCCCCATCTTCATCCGCTTCTCTTTCCCTCGATTCCTCGTGCATCCCCTCTATCACGCATGATACGCCCGCAAACCCGAGTCTGTCGGACTGGGGGTCGGCCTGTATGGACGGAAGCTCCATCCTGGATGAAGATGTGCGAGGAAGTGACACACAGACGGTGGTGGAATTGACCGATGACCGCTGGCTGTCGCCGGGGCGGGGGCGGGCGGGGGAGCGCTGACCACTGTCCGTTAATCCCAGACGAGTGTGAGTGGCATCTGATGCTGGTCCGCTTGTCAGTGTGTAGTCGGCCTTGTCGGTCCGAGGAAAGTGACGCTCGACGCCCGACGCGAACGCAATAGCAATGGAATGACCCGTCGCGGCGCTGCCGATACTTTCCATACGTTACCGATCTGTACTCGTAATTATATATATAATTATACATATAAACTAACTATAACTATAATTATATATATAATTATAGATATTACTTCAAAGAAGACCTAAGCCATATGATAACACCTCCTTCAACAAACACCGCACCTGCGAAGTCCAAATTGCGAGACTGCGAATCGGCCATACTTTTTTCTCTCATTCTCATTTAATCTCAAAATCTCCAGTCCCTTTATGCTCTCTATGTCAACACTCCCCCCTTACAACCGACCATATTTTACTTTCTTGCCCTAAAACCTATGCCACACGTATCAAAATTCGAAGTTCCCTCCCTCTTAACATCCACCCTTTGTGTTCAGATAGTCCAATGGTAGTAACAGAAATTTTAAAACTCTTCAAGAAATTAAATTTAAAAATTTAAAATTGCCCAGTCCCCGACGTAAATAGCCTAGATGCTGATCGTCGTTAAATAAAACTAACTAACTAACTAACTAATTATAGATATAATTATACATAATTTGTCATCGAAAAATTGAATCAATTGATTAGGACAAGGCTTCGGCGCATCGGTAACATGAGTACAGAGAGCAAAACTGGATTTTTCAAGGCTAATTTTAAAGTTGCCTAGCTTTTTACGCTAGTGATAAGAACGATTCGCTAAACTAAAGAAATGACGAGACCAGGCCCGCCACAAGGGGGGGGATACTGGGTCCTTGGTACCGGGGCCCGGGCCCTGGAGGGGCCCGTGATGCAGGTGACAAACCACTACGAATTCATGTGTAACCCTTGTCTCGTAGGGAAAAGTGAAAAAATTACCCTAAAAATTCCGCAAAAGGTGAATAAAGTTTCAAAAACACGCTAGGGCACTATAAAATTTTTCTTACTTTTTTAGAGATTTTCAAGATTTTGAGTATATGTAGAATGATATTTTTAGTAACTGTGTTTCATTTTCTTTCGTTGTCGGATGCTAAGAGGCTCCTATCTGGGCATCCTCGACTTCAATGGCTTAACTCCCTTGCCGTAGACGTACGAAAGGGGAGTCCAGGAAGGCCCGGCTCCCCATAGAATTGAAAATTATCATCTGCCCTCGCAAAAAAAAAATTATAGATGTTTTGAATGCAACAATTCGAAAGTTTTTGGTGCTGAAAGTAAACAAAAAGGCGTAATTATTCTGCAGAAATTGATGGAAAATCTCCATCATAAGAGCTTCATAATGCGTCCAAATAGGTTTAAAATTTCAAAAATTTCCCAGGGGAGGCCCCCCGGACCCCCCCCCCCCCCCTGCTAGGGGCCCGGGCCAGGAAATTGGTACCAGGACCCGAGATGGGATGTGGCGGGCCTGGACGAGACAATTTATTTGATTATTGGTAGAAATGATCATTTGGGGGAAACTACGAGTTAAAGCGGGTGGTTTATACTGTCGTGCTAAGGAAAAACGCCGTATGAACCTTCAGGCGTTGCCAAATTACCTTTGATAAAACACGAAGTTCCTGGTAAACTTTCGAATATTTTTCCTCCGGTTTTCCGATAATTTTGTTCGCAATTCCGCCTAAAATTCCTGAAAATGTCAAGGAATAAAATTAATCACTTCCCTCAAAAATAAACCTTTTATCGAAGGAAATTTGGCAATTCTCGATTGTTCATACGGCGTTCTTTCTTAGCACGACAGTATAAAAGTGCATGGTTTTACTGACACCTGTATAGTCGAGTAAAAAAGTGAGAACATTGTTGGCAACGTAGAGCGTTCCTGAAAGGAGAGACCAGAGGTGCTTGGGTTGTTGTTGGAAGCTTCGAAAACGGTATAATTCGCCAGGTTGTTTTACAATGATCGAGCCGAGCTTCTGTAATCGGCTGTACGTGGTTGTCGTGGTGGCCGCGTAAGTATGTCACCCAGAACATCTGGGCAGCTTGCAACTTATGGATTCCATCGGGTATCAATCACTCTTTTTCTCCCATTACACAATCCCTCTTTCCTTCATCCTCCTAGCAGCTCGTAAATTTCCAACTATAGGGTTCCTATCCCGTTTCAAGTATTACGTTCTCACGCGATGAGCTCTTTGTATGGTAGGTTCGGGAGTTTCATCGCCGACAGGGTAGCCACCGAATATATGAAATGAAATTCCCTGACATTTCACTGTTTTCCCTGACAAATTTTGTGAAATTCCCTGACAATTGAAAACATGCCGGATGATTAAAAAGACACAATTAGAAATAGTTTTCGGGCAAAATTTGCTGTTCGAAACGTCAAAACCATTCTAGAAAACAAATAAAGGCGACTGAAGAATTTTCCCCTAACATTTTCGTCATTTTCCCTGACATTTCGAGGTTTTCCCTGACTTGAAAAAAGTTCCTGACATTTCCCGGTATTCCTTGACTGTGGCAACCCTGCGTCGATATACGTATCAATTTCAAATCACCACCCCTATGCGCGTATGACTCCGTAAATCCATCAGATTTGACGGTACAAAAAAGTACAGCGGAACACACTCAGATCCACCAAGTTTAAATTCCCGAACATTAAGTTTTGTTATTGAGTTTGCTCTCATTCCCTCACGCCACTTCGTCATCTCTCCGATTCGTTCCCGGTGAACAACCTCGGAGCCTGGCGTACCATCATATTTTACGGAGACCCTCTCTCTCCACGAGAACAGGCTCGGCGTTACGAAGCAATCAAGCTTTTGAAAACCGATTCATATGCTACGGGGCACCGTACGAAACCTGTCAAACCGTTTAACGACCCGAGCCCCGCTCTTTTAATCCTATTTCATTCCGATTGTTTCGCTTCTTCAATAAAATATATGAATGCACGGCGAGGCCCGCGGAGGATATTCAAAAAGGATGAGGGTTATGATTCACAGTTCAAACAAAACGACAGCGAATAGGATTTGGTTTCAGTGGGTACCTGCCTCATCCTTGCGGCTTTGTACCGAAATTTGGTGAACGTGCGGCGAGGAGAACACTTGAAAGGTATTACTTCATGCGAGTCCGAAAATACGCACGCGGTCAGTTATATTCAACGTCAGCCGATTGCTGGATCAAATTACTCAATGAGGACGATTGTATTTGGTTTTTCTGACAATGAGTTCTTCCTACGATGATGTGCGGGATATCGACCGATTGGTATAGGTTCCGTGCGTCTACAGGATTTAAGTTTGTCGTTTAATAAAAACTTACGAGCAAAAATCAAGATGCCCGAGTATGAGATGTAATTTCATTATACTTCACATTAATTCAGTCCCTTCTCGTACCATAATAAAACAAAAATTCGTCGTTGTGCTGATTTTTACGCCTCATCTCCTAAATTTACAATTGGTTTCGAAGGTTCACTGAACTAAAAAATAATCGTAAACTACATTTCTAAGTTGCACAATTTCTATTCGCAAATTGTATACTACTAGATAACTGATGAGAATTTCTGACTGAAAACTTTACCGATTTTCTGATTCCAAGCTATAATTGCCAAAATTTTAGGACGAAATTGAACATTCACATTCTTGATGCCGTATGAGATATTTTGGAAGCCTTGGAATGGAGTAACGTTCCTTCGTCTTGGAGGGGACGATAAGTTCAGAAAACTCAGAATACAAATGCATGACGGCTGAATCTGTTGGAACGAAATCACACCAACTCGGAAACTTAAAAAAGCCCAATCTTCAGAAAATCCATGGAAGATGACTTATCTATGTAATTTGGGTCATTAAAATGTCCTAAAAGAATTGTCCGTTGGCACCAAAAAGCTTCAGCTTAAACCAACTCCCTCTACTACTGCGCAGTATTTGGCGTCTCTTGAACATTTTCATTTTCCGGGGTTGGTGTATTTTCATTCTCATGGATTCATCAATTGCTGAAATATGCCTTAACTTACCGGTTTCGAGGCCTGGTTCTGCCACCTGAACTGAAGACTTGGGATCTCCGCCGGCACAGGGACGACGAACTGGAGGGCGTAGTCGTTCATTATCCCATTTTCCACGTAGTACAGTTTCGTCTGGAGCCCTGTAACATAAAACCACGATCCGTGAAAACATGACCGGGGACTATTTCGCAGGAGCAAAAAACGTGAGCACCTCACCGGCGCCGGTAAAAATTAAAACGAATCCTGCGAAGCGGAATGATCGATCGATTTCGATAGCGGTTCGATGTATCGTTCGGTTCAAAACAATAGAACATAACCTCAAACAAAACTTTCAGGATTTCAGTCGGAAAAGCTGAAAATGAGAAAATTCCTAACTATTCCACCTTGCGATGCCATTTAGTACTCATGAGAATAAAAAATCTATCATAAAAACCCCGTTTCCTCAGATTACTCGATTGACTTTTGAGGATGTGTTTACACGCTGAACCAATCGATATCGATACAATCTCACCTATTTGATGTATCGAAAACGATCTGTTCCGTTGGAAGGTAAAGTTTTCTGCATACTGCGCTTGCGCAGGCTTCGTTAATTAGCTGAAAAATACAAGGTGGATTTCAGTAGCGCGGAGGAAGAAGAATCTCGAGGATTCTGGAGCCTGGAAACAAAGGGAAGCGGTATTCATTACAGGTGCGCATGCGCGGCCGGACCAAAGCAAAGCGAGGGAAAATAAAATATGATCTAGTTAGAGAGGCGAGCGTTCGCGGGTACACGTTCGAGCGGGAAGATGGCGATTAGCCTGAATTACAAGCGCCCGGAACAATATGATATTTTCTTCTTGCTTTTGTCCTCCTCCGTTTGTTTTAGCCTCGTCCGGAGCTCCCCGCGGATAAATAGGGTCCGGCGGGCGGCGGCACAGCGCTGCGCCGACGCAAATGTATGCAAATACATTCCAACATGCTTCTGTTTCGATTCTCCGTGCAAAATGCTCGCAGATCTTCGATTGGCGGGATGGTTGCGCTTTGCCTTGTTGTCGCTTAAGCCAAGTATACGTACAAATTTTTACGCACTCTCCTTTTACGAGTGCTCTAGATCTAACCTCAAAGTTACCGACATGTTCGTACTCTCCCCATACAGGTATTCCAATGGAAGTGTTCCCAGTCCATGGTCGTTAAAAGTTCCGGGATTCGGAACTTCATTAATTGTTCCAATTTCTCCCAACTTATAACCGTCAAAAGTTCCGTGATTCTTTTTAAAGATATTCAAAAGTTCCAAGAAAGTTCAGAAAAATGCAAAACATCCGGAACATTTTGGGATTCTTAAAAGTTCCGGGCAAATTTCGGGAGATTCTCAAAAATTCCGAAATTTGGACCTTGTTTCGGGAAATGGGGGCACGTACTGTCTAATCGAGACCTTGTCGACCTGCTGATGAGTGGCCGCCATCCCGCAGGTCCAGGGTGTCTACTAAAACAGGCGGGCTAAAAATCAGTACTTTTACGGTGCATTCCCAAAAAATTCAGTACCTTCTCAATAAAAAAATTCAGTGCTTTTTCAGTACCTCTATTTGGCGAAATCCGAAAAATTTCAAAAATTTGAATTTCTCGCTCGAACTGAGACAAAAATGACCAAAAAATGAAAAAAATTCCGGACCTTTTGCGGAATTTCCGCACTTTGTCAGTACTTCCAGACCCCCCTTAAGAAATCTGTACTATTTCCGGACTTCCCGAACTTGTAGACACCCTGCCTCAGGTCTCTCCAGAGGGGAATTTTTCGGGGTTCGGATGTTGCATATTGTCAGTACTTCCAGACCCCCCTTAAAAAATCTGTACTATTTCCGGACTTCCCGAACTTGTAGACACCCTGCCTCAGATTGCAGGTCTCTCCCGAGGGGAATTTTTCGGGGTTCGGATGCTGCATCTTGTCAGTATTTCCAGACCCCCCTTAAAAAATCTGTACAAGTTCCAGACTTCCCGAACTTGTGGACACCCTGCCTCAGGTCTCTCCCGAGGGGAATTTTTCGGGGTTCGGATGCTGCATCTTGTCAGTATTTCCAGACCCCCCTTAAAAAATCTGTACTATTTCTCGACTTCCCGAACTTGTAGACACCCTGCCTCAAGGTCTCTCCCGAGGGGAATTTTTCCGGTTTCGGATGTTGCATCACTGGACAGGACGGCGGCGCGGAGCGGGAATCCGGGCGCACGTCGGGGGGTTTTTTGTCTGTACAAGTTCTGCCTCAGGTCTCTCCCGAGGGGAATTTTTCGGGGTTCGGATGTTGCATCTTGTCAGTACTTCCAGACCCCCCTTAAAAAATCTGTAGTATTTCCGGACTTCCCGAACTTGTAGACACCCTGCCTCAGATTGCAGGTCTCTCCCGAGGGGAATTTTTCGGGGTTCGGATGTTGCATCTTGTCAGTACTTCCAGACCCCCCTTGAAAAATCCGTACTATTTCCGGACTTCCCGAACTTGTGGACATCCTGCCTCAGGTCTCTCCAGAGGGGAATTTTTCCGGTTTCGGATGTTGCATCACTGGACGGCACGGCGGCGCGGAGCGGGAATCCGGGCGCGCGTCACGGCCTCACGGCGCGGGCCGATGCAAATACGAAAACTACAAAATACCAGATGCCAGATTAATAGCCGCCGCGGCACCGAACAATGGCCCCGCTCCGCTCTCGCCCTGCGCCCTGCACCAGCACCGGCCCTCGACGCGCTGGATGCTCCGCCGCGCTGGATCCCGATGGTGACCGCGGGATGCAAACGATCTCTCCGACATAAATATCGAAGCTAAGTATCTGCGATACCCCCCCCCCCCCCCCCCCCCCCNGGGCGGCGCGGCGCAGGGACTGAAAAGTCGAGGACAGGTACCCGCGACTGCGCCCGGTCCCGGTCATCGCCCGCCTCGCGTGGCTTCCAGTATGAAGCCACGTTGCCGTTTACGGGTTCGGCGAATTCCCGCCAAAAAACCAGAACAAAAACAAAATTTAAAATTACTGCTATGCGTTGTCCTCAGCGGCAAGAGACCCTCCGCTGCGGGACGATTATTGAAACATATGGACAAAGCGACAGACAAAGAAGACATAGGGAGTATGGAGCGATCTTATTGGTTGACATGGTTGGTTCTTATGGACTAAGGCAGAAAATGATGGACTAACTGTCGAGTCTTTCGTGGGTTGGTCTATTACCCACCTCCTATGTCCATTGCCACCACCTGCTTCCACCAATAGGATCCCTCCAAATCCCTTTTGTCGTCTTCGTCTATCAGTTTCAATAATCGGCCCGCTGCGAGCCAACTATTGAAACCGATAGACAAAGACGACGAAAGGGATTTGGAGGGATCCTAGTGGTGGAAGCGGGTGAGGTCGATGGACATAGGAGGTAGGTAATAGACTAACCCACGGCAACCCACGAAAGACCCGACAGTTAGTGCATCAATTATTCTCTCTTAGTCCATAAGAACCACCCGTTTCAACCAATAGGATCGCTCAATGAATCGCAAATCATTTCGCGCAGAAAGAAGTCGTGCACTCCGATGGCGAAGCGCGATCGATTATCCATATTTCCCCATTTGATGCCGTCGTAAAGAATCGATTACTAAAGGGTTCGTTGCAAACACCCTTTTCATCGATCCTTTCCCATAGGTTTAAATGGCAGACCAATCGATAAATCGTAACGCCAGGGTGTCTAGTAAAACAGGCTGGCCAAAAATCAGTACTTTGACAGTACTTTTTCAGTACATTCCTAAGAAATTCAGTACTTCCTCAACAGAATACTTCAGTACTTCTTCAGTATCTCCATTTGACGAAATTCGAAAAATTTCAAAATTTTGAATTTCTTGCTCAAATTGCGACAAAAATGGAAAAAAAATTCCGGACCTTCTTGCGGAATTTCCGCACTTTTTCAGTACTTCCGGACCGCCGTTAAAAAATCAGTACTATTTCCGGACTTTCCGGACTTGTAGACACCCTGACCCTTTTTATCGATCCTTTTCCATAGGTTTAAATGGCAGATCAATCGATAAATCGTAAAGCAGGCCACGCCGCTAGTGCACTCCGAACCGATGAGGCAACGAGGAATTCCTCCCGACTCTCCGAGCCCGGCAACAGCGGACACTTTCTTCTCTAGCGACGTCTGCGTCTCCGTCTGTGCCGTACGTTGATTGACAATTTGCGGGGAGAAACCCGGTCACTATCGTTCATTCAGTTCTTCGGCCACGGTCGACGGGGGGCGGGGCGGGGGGCCGACGGGGCCGCGGAGGGACAGCCTTGAGTGGGGAGCTTTTATCCGCGCAAAGTCACTGCACCCGTTCCCGATTGACGAGCCTTAACGGGTGTCACGATCGCTCTCAGCTGATCCCGCGGAAGGGGAACGCGGGACGCCGGTTCATTGAGTCACTCCGTCGAGAAGCTCAATTCGCGATGGACCACGTGGAAAAAAATAGCTTCATTAATAATAAGCGAATTTTACTTAGAGGCTCGGTACTACTTTTGTGCCCGCGTCCCGAGCCTCTGGGCTGCCATTCTATTTAAGTTCGGAACTTCCGATTCGGTGACTGACGAATTGCAACGTTGGTGCGTGATTTTCGTGCCACCTCGGTGAAGGTTTCATGGTATCAGAGAGACTTGGCTATCTCATCCCTCCTTTTTATAATACTTACAAAATTACATAAAATAGTCATGTATAATCAGAGATCCTCCACTAGTATCTTGGTCATTGTAAAAGCTTTTACTTTTGGGACTTCAGCATTCTACTGTTGACTTACCTGCATGGTTGATGTTTAACAACGTGTTGGCAGTTTCGTTTTGCAAACAAGTCGAAAATGGCCGAAGTTTGTGAAACTTGTTTCACTCATGACGCCACCCGAAGCTCATCATCCACCATGTAGGTAGGTCAACAGCCGAAATTAGGGTGATGACTGTTGCTCCCTTATAATTGTCCGTAAGGAACTGTTGAATCCCCGAAAGTAAAAGCTTCCACCTGTCGCCAAGAGGCCAGTGGAGCGTCTCTTGTCTCTGCATAATACTTCCAAAATTATAAAAAATAGTCATGTATAACAATCGATTCTAGGTTAGGCAGCCTGTTTCGATTTTCTTAAGAGATTTAAATGAAGGAAAAACCGTGTTGCCAGTTCGTGCGAATCACCGCTG